TTCGATATCAGGACGGAGCCGGAACGCAGAGGATATCAAATGACCGAAACACGTCCGCATATCATCGTTGCTGCCAACGTTATCTTCATAATGGAGGCGGTCGCGCTGCGAAATTGACAAAGCCTAGAAGTTCCAAGCAGACCCTGCCGAGCTTCTTTTGGCCGGTCGTTCCGCGGCAATACATTCAACCGCCACGACGATGCATGTTGTTCGAAGAACGTAGCCGTTGACGCGTAGACCGTCTTTTGGAAGCTGCCGTGGGGCGACAGGTCCGGAATCTGGGGTAGCAGAAACTCCACCAATCCGAGGGGCCAAGCGCCCAGACATGTGGGGAAAGCTTCGCTCGTCTTGGCTTAGCGCCACAGTCTTGCTCCAATTAGCCACTGTGGCCGTGAGGGGACCCCAGGATGACCCAGCAAAATTCCCAAAGTTCCTCCGCGCCTCCAATCTTACGGGAGCGCATATCATGGTCAGGAACCGGGGCCAAGGCCGCGGCTCGGACGGCTGGTAATACTACGATGAGGGTATATTAGACAGGCCGTCGTCGCGATAGTTTTGGAGATACAGACGTTGACCTCAATCTTGTTAATTAATACCGTCGGCCCCTGAACGTCTGCCAAGATGCGTGTCAACGAACTCCTCACATACGCTTTGCTGCAAGCATCAGCAGTACTATCGACACCTCTCGATGAGCGAAGCGTGAAAGTTGCTGCTTCCAAGAGGCCACACCATCCCGCGTATCCGTACCACCCAAAGAAGGCGTGTCCAGTCTCACCGCCACGAACCAAGACCTGCAGCGTCAAGGCTCTCGGCAACGGTAAAGACGATTCTGCCAACATCTTGGCTGCTATTAAGAAGTGCAACAATGGCGGGCACGTCGTTTTCCCCAAGGACCAGAAGTTCACCATCGGAACCGCGCTGGATTTGACCTTCCTCAACGGTATTGATCTTGGTATGTAAGACCCTGGACTTGTTGGTCGTTCAGCGCTTACCACCAGAACAGACATCCAAGGATCTATTCAATTCACCAACGACACGGATTATTGGCAAGCCAATGCTTTTAAGCAAGTGTTCCAAAATGCCACCACCTTCTTCCAGCTCGGTGGCAAGGACATCAACGTTTACGGAGGTGGTACCCTCGATGGTAATGGTCAGGCTTGGTACGATCTCTATGCCAAGGACATCTACATCCTACGACCTATTCTCTTCGGTCTTATTGGTGCTGAAGGTGCCGTGATCTCGGACCTGAAGTTCAGATACAGCCCGCAGTGGTACACATTGGTTGCCAACTCAAGTGACGTTGTTTTTGATAACATCGACATCTTTGGCGGCAGTGTCAGCAAGAACCCCGCGAAGAACACTGACGGCTGGGACACGTACCGTTCCGACAACATTGTCATCCAAAACTCACACATCGCCAACGGCGACGACTGTGTCTCATTCAAGCCTAACAGCACCAACATCGTTGTTCAGAACCTTGTCTGCAACGGTAGCCACGGCATCAGCGTAGGCTCTTTGGGCCAGTACCCTGGCGAAGTCGACTACGTTGAGAACGTCTACGTGTACAACATTAGCATGTCCAATGCTTCAGACGGTGCGCGTATCAAGGTCTGGCCCGGCGCTGCCTCCGCTCTCTCTGGTGATCTGCAGGGTGGTGGCGGTGGTGGTGCAGTCAAGAACATCACATACGACGGCATGACCATCTCCAACGTCGACTACGCTATTGAGATTACTCAATGCTATGGCCAAAAGAATCTAACTCTTTGCAACCAAGTAAGTGAAAATATGGCGGTTTGCTTGTACTATGGGTCTAACGAAAAATAACAGTTCCCATCCAAGCTCACCATCTCCGACATCACTATCAAAAACTTCCATGGTACTACCAGCAAGAAGTACGACCCGTTAGTTGGATACCTTGTCTGCTCCAGCCCAACAGTATGCTCCAACATCAACATTGAGAACGTCAATGTCACCAGCCCAAGTGGAACCAACCAGTACACTTGCGCGAACATCGATGGCATTGGGAGCCAGGTCAACTGCACCACCAACGGAACCAAGGGAGGTGAATCGTAAGCGTTTGTCATTGTTAGAACGTAGATAGATACAGCAATTCGAATATGTTGCTGGAAGAACCTGCTCACTTCGTTGATGGCGTGCACGGATATATGATCGCTACACTTATCAATGGAAGCTTGTAGTGCTTCTCATCGAATTAGCCCGCTTCTAATGGCTTCTGCCAGAACCGGGTCAGGTGACATTCGTCTTGACCACAATGTTAGGATTTTGAGGGATTGACACTCCTGTTACAAGCTAACCTTACCCCACACAACACGCGAACGCACCGCTTCCCGCTTCCCCCTCCCTTGACATCAATGCTTGCGCGATTACCTAGAGTCCACCTCTTGAGTTTCCTACGCGTACTGGGAACTTCACAACGAAAGGGGATATTACGGAGATCGAGGTCTGGCAGCTTATCGCACCCTCCGCTGCCTCCGCCACCACTCCCTCTGGTATCAATGAGCTTGACTATGATGCCCTGTCATCCTCGAACCTTCCTGTGCGTGGAGAGCTTCTCGGGGTACTAGATCTCACGGTCAAGCTGAACAGCACAACATTGGAGTTCGCCTGCCCTAGCGAGGCACAGAATTTGATCGTGGAGATGAGGTGTTAGCGGGTGGCGTGTCATTTAAGCTGTAATCAGCTTGACGTAGCCTCGGGTTTCGGGTTTAGTCTGGCAAGGAGGCAGGAATGAGCGGAAGTAGGGTAGTTATGTTGCTTCCCACCTGCGTCTTCATCTATATAGTACGGATGACAAGATGCCACGATCCTGCATGAGAACACCAGCTCTGTTCAAGAGACCGCACTAGACTGAGGACGGATGTAGAACCGATGATTTGTAGTAAAATCTATTGACTCACGATCACCTTAGTCTACCTTTCCTCGACTATCATCCTACCACGAATAATATCACGTGGGTGCTTTAGCAAAGATTTAACCCACCTTCCCACACAAGCTTAGCTCGATTCTCACAACATCATGTTCATGATATCTCATAGATAGCCCACAAAGAACCCACCTAGCGATCTGTTGTTCAACACTCATCAAACATAACATGTCTACCCAATTTGACGCTGAGTCTATCGCTCGTCTCTCTCTACACGACCCGACCAACTTCAACATTCAGCATTCCCAAACTCTTCACCGTCTAGCAATTCTGCAGTACTGGAGAGTTTCTACTGGTTCGAAAGTACTGGAACTAGGATGTGGGCAAGGAGATTGTACGACTGTGCTTGCCTCCGCTGTGGGTGAACAGGGCAAGGTCGTCGCCGTTGATCCAGCAGAATTGGACTATGGTACCTTTTTTTCCATTCCTACCTTACGGCTGTCTTTGTGTATGAGCAGAGCGTAGCAGACTAATCCTCTTACAGGCTCTCCATATACTCTGGGCCAAGCACAGGATCACATCTCGCGAAGCCCGTTAGGTAGGCAAATTGCTTGGGTCCAACAGTCTCCCGTGGACTATCTCTCATCACTGCCAACAAGCAGCAGTCAAGAGTTCGATGCTACAGTGCTCGCCCACTGTCTGTGGTACTTCTACTCCCCTTCACTTATTCTTTCCACTTTCTGGGCCATCAAGCAGCACAGCAAACGTCTGCTCCTTGCCGAGTGGTCTTTGGTAGCGACACACTCCTCTTCCCAACCTCACGTACTAGCTGCGCTCGCGCAGGCAGCACTGGAGTGTCGTAAACCCAAGAGTATCTCGAATATACGCACAGTGCTGGGTCCAAAGCGCCTTACCGAGCTAGCTCTGGCTGCCGGGTGGCAGTTCGAGAGTGAGAGCCGTGTGAAGAGTGGAGAGGGGTTGTTGGACGGACAATGGGAAGTCTCTGCTTGTCTCTCTCCCTCTTTTGAAAGACAGGTAGAGGAGAGAATAAGTGATGAAAGGGAACGAGGGGTGGTTTTAGCATTGCGGGATGCGTGTGAGGCGAGCTTGGAGAACGTGCCGGGAGGACGGAAGGGAGTTCGGGCGATGGACGTTTGGGTTGCTAATTTTGTTTGATCAGGCGAGCGGAGGATGTCGTCCGAGGAGAAGTCAGATCTGGTGTTGTCTTTACGTAGTGTGACCGCACACACATCTTGGTTGGTACGCCCGTATAATCTAGTGCAAATCTTGACCTTTGATGTAACCACCAGAGGTCTTACTTCGATTCTCATGACCGAAGGATTGCTGTGCCGCACCCGAGCATCCATCGTCATTCATGTGATGGTAAGCCCCATCTTGGTGTCATCCAACCGTCACGCTGAATCCCCAAGGAAAAGGTCTCGGGTTGGAAGGCACAGCTCCGCTTCTCGGCATAAAGCTTACCCGGCGTGCAAAGCCCAGTGCATGCGCTTCGTTGCAGCCGATGCAACATCGACTATGTTAGATGAAAAGAGCTAGGAGGACCCAGGCAGCCACTCGATCGTTCAGGCGGATACAAGCAATGACAAGGCCTTGGAGTGACGACAGTGGTAGAGGATTACCCAAGGTTACTTCGTCTTGTGGGGAAGGTTGGGGTTGTGGTGATAGAAGGATGCATCAATGCAAGGCCACCCTCAGTATACGAAGACATTTAATCTATAGTGGAACACAGACTGGTTCAATTAGCCCTAATTATACCTGATCTTCCTCGTAAGGTGTTGTATTCAGATCCCACGGGGCGTACGGGACGCCTTACCCACCCCCAGGTTTCGGGAGTGCAGAGAGATGAGGTTTAGTTCCATGCAGGTCGCGATCCGTCGCGCAGCCGTTCTTCCCGGTTTCTCTTCTCCATTTGGTAATGGTTGTTCATAGCTTCCTAAGGAATCAATTTAGTAAAGGCCTCGAAAGGTGTATAAAGTCGTCCTGTGTCATCTTGGATATCCCCTCATCAACACAACTCGCATCCTCTCTTCACGTTCCATTACCCAGAACAGCACTCTTCTCTCAAGAAGCAACCAATCATCCTCTTGCAATCACCATGCGTTTCGCTGCCATCATCGCTGCCCTCGCCGTCACGGCCACCGCGCTTCCCGCAACCTCACTAGAGCAGACGGGTGCATCTCTTGGTACGTGATGTTTCTGTCACCGAAGTATCCACGTCCGAGGTACTTTGGATAGTGAAAGCCCTGGCTAACGATTGGTTCTCATGTTAGACGCTCAGGCGGCCGCTTGTGCCAACCAAGACTCATACGACATCTGCCGTTCTAGCTGCAGCCCGCTCGCTCCGGCGTTCGCCTGCCAGATCAACTGTCTCATCGCCTATTGTGCCTAAGGTACTGCATCGAGCGATTGAAGCGTAGTGGAGCGGTACTGGATGGAGAGGATCCTCATTCACTGTTGAAGTAGGGTTGATAGGGTTGGAGACACGCATGCTTTCGTGTAGGGCCTATAGACTGGCCAGCCATTCGTTGCCCCTGTGCACAATAGAAATCAATCAGAACCGAGTCAGATTAGTCTTCTCGCCGCAGATCCATGTGAAAGTCCAGAAATCTAATGTTTAGTATTGATAGAGCAGATAATGTGTAGATTGGATATCATGTTCAGTACATACCCAAAACGCCCAAAACGCCTCAAACCGGAAACGCATGCCATCTTAAAAAGTCGTCGAGAATAAAGGGTGTTCCCGCTGTCGAACCATTACGCCGTGCAAAACCCCCCATCAGATCATCATCATGTCATGTCGAATAAAGTCCACTAGCGCCGTCCAAAGCCATTGGCCATCTGTTTCTGTACATACTTGGCACCCTCTTTCTTGATGATGGGCAGCGCGTAGTCCTTGAACATGCCCATAGCCTGCCTCTGCCACTCAGGCTGTCCGGGCTTTCCTGGCTTGCCCACGTCTCCTCTGCCGCTTCTACGGCGGTCATCATAGCGGTCGTCATCGTATCGACCGCGCCTGTCGCGATCCCTGTCATCGTAGCGAGAGTCGCGACGCGGCTTGGTGTTGAACATGTCGTCGTAGCGGTCGTCGTAGCGGTCATCGCGGCCATCGCGGCGTCTGCGGTCGTCACGTGGCCTGTCTCGGCGGTCGCGGTCATCGTAGTAAGGGTCGCGGTCCTTGCGGCGGCGGTCCGACTTGTAGCCTTCAGACTTGTAACCATCGCGTTCACGGCGGCCGTCATCCTTGGGTCTTCGGGGCGGATAGTGTTCGTCGTATGAGTCGTAGGTATCCTCGCGCCTAGATCTACGGGGACGGTCGTCGCGGGGGCGGTCGTCGCGCTGGCTGCGTCGCGGAGGGGGCGGGAAGTCTGATTCCGAGTCGTCGGACGAGTACGAGGGCTGTCTGTGATGGCGGCGTGGGCGAGCGCCGCGGTCTCGGTGGTCACGAGGATCTTCCTTTCTGTTAGCTGGTGTTGCGAAACTGCCTTGACGAGCCAACATACCTGGCGGAGGGGGAGGGGGGTAGTCTGATGCTCCAGGTGGAGGAGGAGGGTAGTCTGATGCACCGGGCGGGGGAGGCGGATATTCTGAAGCTCCCGGCGGGGGTGGTGGATAGTGTGCAGCGCCGGGTGGGGGAGGAGGGTTCATTGGGTATGGCGGCGGCGGCGCATCGTCTTCGGCAGGCCGCTCCTTTCGGGGACGACGATGATCGCCCCTGCGGCTGTTGCGGTAGTCGCGGTAGTCTCTCTGGTTGTCCTTTCCAGGCGCCCATTTCGGCTTGCCATTTTCGTAGTTCTCAAAGTGGTATGTGGAATCTGCTGTGCCTTGTTAGCGCTGTGCCAACAGACTGGGTAATGGCATCTTACGGGGTGGTGGCTGCCCCATCGGCGGAGGCGGCGGCGGCGATATGGATGGCTCTCTATTTCTGTCACGGCGTCCCATACTCGTAGGCGGGTGGTGCTTGTGTGGTGAAGTTGGCTGTGGTGGTGGTGTTGAGGTTTGAATGTGGACAAGGAAGTGTGGCCTAATGGCAGGCGGCGAGCATCTGACACTTAAAGCGCGGCTCTCGGCAGGGCTGCAGCTCTCAGCTCAGTCTCACAAGACACCATGTCGTCATCTGCCCTATTGCCTCAGCCCGTAGCGCAGAATTGGATTTTTGCGGGGCTTCCGACGCTTTTCGAAGCTTCGCGACGGCGTGGCAGAGGTCGAGTGGGCTGTGTATGTAGGCTGCGATCATCGTGCATGGGTAGCACCTCTGCCCGGGCCCACTCCTGCAAGCCATAGCCGATAGCCACACTCGACTGGCCAGCTTGCGCGCGCTCCAAAAGGACCGGCCGTTCCCCCGCACCATCGCGTGGGATACTGGCAGATCAGGGTCTCGCGGAGAATATCCATGGATGTTTCTATGGAGAATGCTACGTGGTCTCCAGACGGTGGTCTACTCATCCTCATCTCCTCACACGCCCAGAAAGACGTCAGGGGCCACTGTGTCCCCCAATCGCGACACTTGCTGACCATGTCTCGTTACCTCGTCACTGATGTCCTGACCTTGACCACGGTCACGGGGAGCGGTGAACGTCGACTCCAAATACAGGCTAGCCGTCTCATGACTCAACCTATCGGTGCCTGCATCCATCAATCACATTGAGATTGAATATCCTGGGTATTTCCACGACATCAAAGGCGCCCACCGACACATGGTTGATAAAGCGGCCTACGTCATACCGACTGCGCATTGTTAGGGAGCTTGGATACATCAACGTCATAAAGTTTAGAAGATCTTCATAGCCAGACGAGTGGGCGACGGCCTCGATAAGCCTCCGACGCCTACTACGTATGTATTGACTAGCTGCCATGATGCCTATTCTAGCTTCATCAGTATAATCACTCAAGACTCTGGCTTGCGACTGGCACTCTAAATCTCCTTTTCCCATTCCAAGACCAGTCTAGCGCAGCGCCTAGGATAATCGCACCAAGAATCGGTCCGGCATACTAGATATGGATGTATGGATTCAGCGTATATTTCACATGCACTTAACATGGAGACACTTACGTTCATATTGAACCTGTCCAGAGGAAGGACAGTCGGGAGCGGCATCCAAATGAAGGTGAATAGAATGTAGCACAAGGCACCAATGTTGATATATGGTCCCGCAATGCCCAATCTAAATGGTCCCCATGGAATTGGCGATGGTGCCGTCCTCGACATTCGATGCCACGAAAGGAACAAGATAGGAAGGAAGTACGAAAGGTACAAGCCCAATGCTGTGAGAGAGATGATAGCGTTGAACGCCGTGCTCGAACCAACGTTGATCAGAGCGAGTATGCAAACACAAAGAGCACTGAGATATAGCGCGTTGACCGGCACTCCAAAGGTCGGATGAACCTTTGCGAATGCAGACGAACATGGTAATCCCCCGTCTCTTGAGAAAGCCCAGATGAGACGTGAGACTGAAGCGAAGACGTTGAAAAAGGATACAAAGATGATATATATTAGCATAAAGATGAACACGTTCGTAGCTGCTTTAGATCCAGTGGCTTGGTAGTAGACCTCGATGATCGGCAGAGGTGAAGCGGAGACACGTTTTGCGTCACCAATGGTGAACAAGACAGTGATCATATAAATGAGTTGCATGAGGCCGTTAACCACGACGGAGAAGATGATAGACCGTGGAACCCGGGTACGTGCTTGTTTGACTTCATCAGACATGTGAATGATACTATCGAAACCTATAGATCATTAGTATGTCCGAGTTAGAGATTACTTCCGCTAGCTTACCACATAGAGGGTAAGTAACAGTGATGAGTCCTATACCCCAGGCTACTGCCGAGTTGTCCCATCCGCTGACGTCCTTGGTCAATGTTTGGAAGACGTATTCTGTAGAGCTTTTCTGTGCCATGACTGCAGATGGGAAGATACAGAGTCAACATATGCCTCACGTGCACTTCGTAGAGTCTAGCATACCTAATAATGTAATGACACCCGCAAGAAAAAATCCAACATGGCATATCGCTCCGATTGTTTCAAGTATGTTGATAAACTTGGGTAGCCAGAGGTTGCCAATGAAAGGAATGGCTGTCGCAGCGCACATGATAAGTGTAGTATGCCATCGCTGGGAGACGTATCCCTGGTTGTTAAAGGAAGCCAAACCGACGACAATGTTCGCTATCAACGCTGGATTAGAAGCACAGCTACAGACCCAGGCGAAAACCGTAATCCACCCTTGCATCAAACCGAAGAAGCGGTTCCACTTCGGTGCAAAAGTAGTAGACCACCTATACTGAGCGCCGACCGTAGGATCCATGGATGACATTTCAGCGAGCGACAGTGCCACTAATGTTGTTCCAGCCCATGCGAAGATGCTGCCATAGACGATGGAGGCTGGACCGCCATTGCTCAACGCGAATTGGAAAGTAACTGCAGATGCTTCCCATGAACATTGCATGAGGAAATTAAAGTTTACCGAAGAGGGGGTATTGATGTATCGCTGAAGGGCATTAGAGAAATCGTGTACTTGGACTGTGAGCGTACGTGTAGTGCCCCTCCTTCAAGGTCTCCTGCGCCATTAGCCCTCTGGCCCTCGACAGCATCTTGTATAGTCTCCTTGTTGGTGCTCGTTGTATCGCACTCTGAACTGACCAGCGTCTTTTCTGTCATTCTCATCATCGGCCCAGGCAGTCGTCTGATTTAGAAAAGTCATCTCAGGAATATTGGGCCAACGTCTTTTCTTATCGACGCAAGTTTTTTTTCTCCCGCAGACATTAGCCTTAGAAACTGCATACATGACTGATGATCATACGCCGTACAAGGCGATGGCATGCATGTGTGTCCAGGAGTTGTGCAGCATAAGCTGCTACTTTTACCCAACGGCCATTCGAGGCCAAGCAAATATACTATCGTGCATTGCGGATACCCTGTCAAGCGCTTACTCTTCAATCTGTGATAGGTCTGTTGTTCACACTCTATGCTCTCAACATATCAGCCTTGCCTCGTTCGGGCAGCACTTAGCCACAAACGTTTGATATCCGAATAGCACATCGTTTGGAGATCAAGAGTGACAATCGACACCGTTTCTGCAAGGTATGCAGCCCCTGAGTCGGCTTACGAAGAACTGAATCTCGGACGATGACGGCTTCCGTGAAGCAAGCCGATTAGCGGCATTGAATGACGTAGTGTTTGGGGTCTGGAGACCCGACTGTCGCTCTCTAAATAGTAGGGTACATAAAAGACACGAAGAACGCGATCGGCGGCAGTAGAGACTATCGCCAACCCCAACGTGACAGCGATGATGCAAGTGGATGAAGAGGTGGCTGGACGGCGATGCCCAGGGTCGATTTCCCTCCCTCTTGACCCACAAGCCGACGTTTAGCGTCAGCCCTCCCGCCGCCTTCACAACTCTAAATTGCATTCGAATCCACGCCTGTTGGTTGTGCGCCCCCACTCCACCAATCGACGCGCATCCACCATGCATCAAGCTTTCGGACCAAGTCCGCCCACTGGACGACTGTAAGGAACCTGATCTAGCTCGGAAACCCTCACAGATCCTGGCATTTCGTGCAGTTCACTTTCCCCGCCGGCTAACTGTGCAGGGTTGCCACCCTGTTCGTATCGATAAATGTCCTTTGGCGTGTACTCTTCAGGTACACGAGTCGAGGGAGTCGCATCTCGCGCTTTCTTGCGCCATCGCAACGCCTGAGCAATGAAAATCCCCAAACCAATCAAGGCGATAGCTCCGAGGGTTGCTCCAACACCGATGCCAGCTTTCGCACCCACAGACAATCCACTGTTGCCGGTGGCTATCGCCGTGCTCGTTGCTGGCAACGTCGATATCGAAGACGAGATCATGGACGACATGGTTGAAGATACAATCGATGAAGTCGCTGTAGGTATAGGGTCCCCGAAACGCGCGGCGATCGTGTATCGCGGGATAGTGCTCCTTTCAGCGCAGCATTGATTCGAAGATCCGCAACACCATGTTGCCGAATCAGCAGCACCAGTACAAGGTGTGACTATTTCATCGTTGTCTCTTTGCGAAGGGCTCTTTTCCAAGTTAGCTTTAGTGGCCTATACAAACGCCGTGCCTTGTGTACCTCCGCTGAGCAAAGCTCCTGGCATCCTCCTCCTTCCCAGCTGCTCTTCGTACACGTTTCTCGATAGATGGTCGACGAATCCTTATTCTGGCACAGTCCGTTCGGTAGTAAGTTATCCCAAGAAGCGCAGCAAATGGTGCTGAGTGGATTCGAGGTATCGTTAATTCTTGGTGCGTACGCAGGATGCGTATTCTCAGTTCCGTTGCGCCAATAGCAGGCTGCCATCGCTTCCTGCAGGAAAGTGTGATGTTGTAGTAGAAGTACGGCGACTATGTAGCGCGACACGACAGGAGGCTGGAATGACTGAAGAGCCAAAAACCGAGAAGACGAGATTCGAGTTGGTTTTGGTATCAAGTCACAGGCCCCTTTTGAAAGATTGGCTTACCACCGCTCGCAAAGCGCTGGGGGGCTAACTTTCATCGATTTCGACTGCCACCAGTGAGACACAGCGAACCAGACACCGAGCTTGAGCAATAAGCGAGGTTTTTGAGTCTACTCAGCCTTGTAACACTCGACGCTTACAACGGTTGGCTGGTATGGTAGCAGGTAATCTCAAGCACGTAAGCCTCTACGCCCCGATCGTCTCACCGGACTTCGCCTCACCGAGTATAGCCCTCCAACTATAACCAAAGTACAACGGAAGTTCCGCTTGAAGCATCGTTATTTCTGCGGTATTCGACCTTGAGTAACATTAGCTTACCCTTTAGCTGTCAGCCTTTTGTCTACAGGCGTCGCTGTATTGTCATAAACGGAAGCGATAGATCACAGCCCACACCATTAGCGAAGCTCACCAGTCTTTGAGATGAAGGTGTGTATGTACTTGGTATTGTCAATATATACAATGAAGTCGCGAATATGGCATAGTTCAGCGCTCCTAAAGAGCACTACGAGATGCTCAAGACCAGCTTAGGGAAGCCTTAGGTGCAGATGGTCCTCCCACCATTGCCAGTAAGACTCCACTTAGTCTTGTTAGCTGTGCAAGCTAGATTCGGGTATACCAAGTCAGTACGTATTTCACTTGCAGTTCGTATGGGAATACTTACGGCTCTCTCTCACAGTAGTTCCATCAACCTTGATCGCGATCGCGATGTCCCTGCTGTTTGCAAATTCGGTCCTGGCGGCAAGACGAACTTCACCACCGCCGCTAACAGTACCAGCCTTGATGTTGACATTGTAGCAGTTCTCGAGCAAGATGGCGTTGTTGCCAGTGTTGGCGACATCGATGGTGCCAATCTCCACACCACCAGAAGCAGAGACGCAGAAGATTCCGCGACCACCACCACGAGCCTTGACGCGGTTGACTTTGATGTTAGTTGCGTATCCGCCGTTGAGCTTTCCAGCTTCATTAGCAAAACGTAAGGCGGCGTATCCGGTGCCTGCGCCGCAGTTGTCGCAGTCTACGGTGCCGATGTTTGCGTTTGTAACCTTTTGAATGAGTAGGCCACACTCTCCGACATTCTTGCCGATTACGGAGCCGACTTCAAGCTTGTCGATGTTCCATGTCTCGACGCAGTGCGACGTGCCGCCGGTGCAGGTGATGGTGCCCATCTTGACGTTTGTGTTGGCAGCTCGGTCACGGTCGAATCGAATTCCCATCCCTTCCTTGAGATTGAAGTTGATGGTGCCTAGGGTTAGGTCTTTGGTGCCAGAGAAGCGCATACCAAAGTAGGTGGACCCGGCCATGGTCAAATAAGGGATCTTGACGCCAGACTGATCGGTCACTTCAATGTTTCCTCCTCCGCTTTTGGGAGAAACTGTGATAGTCCCGCAGCCTTCGAACGTCTTTCCGCTCGTGATGGTAAGGGTACTCGCGCCAATGTTACCGGACGCGATGACGGAAACACGCTGTCCACTGCTGATTCCATCGAGCGCACGTTGGATGGCTAGGCGGTAGTCGGAGCCAGTGTAGAGGTTTGTCGAGCCCTTGGTTGCTGTGTAAGAGCTACCGGATCCAGTGACTCGTGCGTCGGGTGTGCCGGAACCGCATTGAGCATAGGCAGCGGAGGCAAGCGCCAGCACCGCCGTGAGACCAGTGAATTGAACCATGTTTATCGCTTGGACGAAGGGAAAGGAACAGAGAAGATTTGCTATGGTTGGTACCATTGACAGATCATCAGGGACGCACTTCTTATAGGACCGAAAAGTACGGCGACGATCCTTCACTCCTGCACTTCTCCTCCCCAAATAACACCAAGACTCCGATATGACCTCCATCGGACCGCCTTCACCATTTCGGAGTCAGATGCAAAACAGCGAAGTATGCCAATAAGCGGCCCACTCGTCACTGTCAGACAAACATCTCCCAAAGTAGTCTTTGCCGTAGTCCTGCCGATCAATTGCAAACACCAGTATCCGGATATACCACCTATCATACCAGGCTCTCAAACGCTACCATGTCGTCCAAGACTATTGGCGCCCGCGCCACTCTCGTTTCATAGTTTTAGCAACCCCAGATATTTCCAAGCTCGGCAGATTAACTACTTCCCGGCATGTTTGGGAAAATCTCCACCACTGTACTACCCCAGAACATATCCATATTGCGGTAGTATCCGATACTTGTCTCGTTTGCGTAAACCTTCCGCATTACTGCATACACGATGTCGTGTGTTGTCGACAGCCAGTTCGGTGCATCTACTCCCTGTACCTCATGGTTACAGTTTAAGTGATCGTCCGGGGTGCGTATCCCCCGCAAAACCTCGTTTGCGCGCATCACGCGACTCCATGGCTCCACGTGAACATGCAGCCTACTCGGGTTGATTCACCCCGCTAGACGTTTCTTGGCAGCATATTTCTCCGCAGCGTTATCTTGTGCATATTGTTCCGCTGCCAAGGTTACCAAGATCAGCCATCCTGTTTCATCGCTTTTACAGCGGGATGGGTAAGAGGTTTCGCATGTTGTTCTAGAATTCATTGATTCATGGTGCCGCTAATACAATCAATCGGAGGACGCTAATATTCAAAGCGCATCAAAATATTTACTAGATACAGTACCGAAATTCGAAGTCTCTGATCCCAAGAGAACAGCTTAAACTATGAAACTCTTCTACTCGAACACATCGCTCACGTACCTGTCCTCCTTGATCTTTTCCAGCCACTCCAAGGCATCTTGTTCCGTCTTGCCTGGGAAAGTATCCCTAAAGATTTTCATGCACACTTCTGCTGTGCTCTTTGCCAACTTACTTGCACTACCACAGATGAAGATCTTCGCGCCTCCGTCCCCAAATAGCTCGGCTAACTCCTTCCGCTCGTCCCACATGCGATCAGGCACACGTTGCGCTTTCTCACCGCTAGGAGCGACCTTTGAGAAACAGCCACGCACACTGACGACGCCATCGGTCTCCCACTGCTTCAACTCATCAGAATAGATGAAGTCCTTCTCGTAATGACGACAGCCGAAGTACAAAATCGCCGGACCGACCTTCGCGTTACGAGCCTTCTTAATGGTTGCGCGCTCTTGGATGAAGCCCCGCATGGGAGCGAGACCTGAGCCTGCACATATCATGATAACGGGTACAGTCGGGTCGGAAGGTAGGTGAAAATTGATGTTTGTCGGACGCGGGAAGCAACGAATCTTCTCTCCCGGCTCTTGACGTGCTAGGTATGTAGATGCGACACCATGGAAGCGGCGATCATCACCGCTCCATGCAGCCTCGTCGTGGACGTCGTAAGTCAGAGATGCAGTCAGACGCTGGCTAGCGTTTCCTTCAGCTGTCTGGACAAACTCAACATTAGCGAGGGGCGATGACGAAATGCTGTATTGACGAGGAGACAGTGGTTTGAGTGAGTCGAGATAAACCGCAAAAGGTAGCTGACAGTCTGGATGGTCTTCGAGGATATCAAGAATGCTGTAGCGCTTGGGTATGACTTCTTTCTTGTACGTCTCGTCATTTGCTAGGTCCAATAGTCTGGCCCGTTTGTTCTCCGGTGTCGCCTCTGCAAGAGTTTGCAGTTGCTTCTGCGAGATCGGCGTACCCAGTTCCACACGTGTCATCAGCAGATCGAAGATCGAGATTGGTGCTTCAGTCGTGATGAAAGTCTTGTTGGTTCCAGTGATATGGATGTTGTCATCAGGTGACAGGTCGAAGCGCTTCATCACCCGCCTGACATTGGAGATGCTGTTGAGCGGCAGGATGACCATATAGTCGCCTGAACGATATGATGTCCCCAGTGGAAGTTCAATCTCCATGTGTTTTTTGGTAAGGCCGACCTCGCCGCCACCCAAATCCTTGTTGACCTTAACTTCACCGTAACCGATTTCTTTACCTCCGAGGTACGTGGCGAACTTCGGAGGTGTGATGTCGGCCTGAAGCTGTCCACCGAGTATTTCAGTAGTAGTGCCACTCGACTTGCGGAGATCACTCCACATTTGTTCAGACCACTTCTCCCACGGACCCATGATATCTTCTTTCACATTGACGAAACCGGTCTCAGTAAAGTGTTTCGCGCCCATCTTCTCGAACAACTCATCGGTAAGTTTGGGAACACGGTGATACGAATGAGTCCAGTCGCTATTTCCGACACCAAAGACAGCATACTGAACTCCCTCAAGCAGCTTGGAGTTTGCATTGCTCTCAAGCCATGCGGTGAACTTCTTTGCGTTGTCAGCTGGCTTGCCTTCGTAAGACGGTTCAATGATGACGATAGGCTGGTCCTTAGGAATATGCTCAGTGGCTGAGTCCAAACTGCCTATGTTTGCCTTGAATCCGTATCGCCCAGCATTGGTCTCTAGGTCCTCGGCATAGGACTTGCATGTACCGGCGTTCGAACCGTAGAGTACTGTGATGGGCTTGGCATCTTTGGTAGGTGCATTTGGTTCTCCAGTCTTGCCGAATCCATCCCCATCATCCTTCTTGGCAGCAGTGGTACTGGTACCAGCGCCACCCAGACTAGCCATTGTACGTCCAGGTCGCCTGCGCACTTTGATCTTCAAATCCTTCGGTTTTTGCGTGATGGTGACTGCGACATCTGAATAATTGGATCAGCAGTGTTCCTGTACATTAGGAAAATGATACACATACGAAGCTGGTAACCAGGATCCGCTAGCTCAACCTGAAACTTCTGCAAAATGAGTGCGACAACCATGATCATCTCCTGCTCAGCGAATGTCCTACCAATGCAAGCGCGTATTCCATCGCCGAAAGCCTTCCATGCGTTTGGAGGAAGATTCTCCCAACCGCCGTTGAGAAAACGCTCGGGCCGAAACACGTCAGCATCGTCGCCATAGACCTTAGGGTCATGATGGAGTCCTTTTAGGTTCATCAGAATCTGGTCCTTTGGCTGCACCTGATATTTTCCCTTGTTGCCATTAGCACACCAATCATATTGTTGGGAAAATAAACTTACTGCAATCTTAGTAGGCTTCAACGAGTGCTTTCCATTGATTGCAATGGGGCCAAGAAAACGCAATGCCTCGTAGATTGCGAACTTTATGTAGGTGAGCTTCGGGATGTGCTTGAGTTCAAGTGGTCCGTCGCCAAGTACTTCGTCAACTTCTTGCTGAGCCTTCAGATACTTCTCTGGGTTTCTGAGTAGGTGATAGAACAAGAACCCCAAGGTTCCACTTGTGGTCTCATGTCCGGCGACCAAGAAAGTCACCATGTTGTACCTTACAGATTCTTTTGTCATCTTTTCTCCTGTCTCCTTATCGACACCTTCAAGCATAGGGTTCAGTAGATCCTTGGCATCTGGCTGAGGGTGAGCAATCCGGTCTGCAATGATCTGGTCGCACAGTTCGTGCATCTTCTTCACGTTTTCCTGCCGATGAGCTTCGGCAAAGACACGAAGCTTATTTTCGACAGACGTGCGGGTGGCTCTTCTTCCAGACTCTATCAGAACCTCGACCATCTCTTCTACGAAGGGATGCGCGCGGTCGGTATAGAAATTGTTGAACCTGTAACCGAATGCACACAACCCGATCATGTCAAATGTCAACCTCGGAGGTATTAGTAAAGAATGGCAGGTCGTGCGAGAAGGATGTGATGGTTACCTTGTGAAATCATCACTGCATTCTATCTCGTGCTCTGGACCGAAACGGTCCCATCGAAGCAGCATTTGTGTTGAGATGTCCATCATACCGTCGAACATCTTCCGTATCCCCATCGGTCCAAACACCGGCATCAGTAGCCGATGTGCAACACCCCAGGCCTGAGTCCTCTATTAATGTGTAGACGATAAGATCGAATGTTCATTACGTACCTTTTCGCCAGGGTAGGCTGTGAACAAACCATCTCCAGTCAATGCGCGTACCTCCTCCAGGGTTGCATTGATGGGCTTTTCGAACCTCTCGCTGTCGCAACAGTCGTTTATCGTATCATACGAAGAGACAACGATGAGCTTGCCATCTCGTCCTGGAAGTTCGAGTTGGTAGATCTCGCCATAGATGTCCGCAAGCCGCTGAAAAGATCCTGGCGCATCATTGGGATCGATCTCAGCGAAATTACCCACGAACAAGTGAGGGGGAGGCTGAGGAATAGGGAGGGATTCCGATGATTCAGAGGCCATCGTCAAAGCCTGCCAGGTAATATGCAAATTAATTAGGGTAACAAACAAATTCTTGGGTGATAATGCAAAGGTAAGAAACGACAAGAAATTTGTGTCTCAGCTGCTCATGTCTGGAGAGAGGAGCTGAGCTACATATACCCTGGGGAGTACCACATCCCAGGACTTGTCAGCTTTGTTATGTCGACCTCCCATAGCAGCCCTCCACCGAAGCCTTGCCAACTGATGCTGCCTAGTTGCTGACCCCACAGGGATACAGAGGGCCTAGAGGATATGATTGCAGCCAATGGGGTCCGATCAGGCATCACGCTGTGGGTAGTCAGCAGGATTGAGTTCAGCTCGGCTGTGCTAGCCACATGATAGGCTACCGACTTTTGGTGTACGATAACACAGCGGTATACCGATGCTGCGCCTCGTGCGAACTGTCGACCGAAGTCCTTCATGGAAATTAGCTCGAACAGGGTGCGCATCCTCTGCCAGTCTAGAATATCTTCACCGGACGGGCCGAGGCGGGGCCACACGACCCGTCCACTCCAATCGGCAAGACCTGCGCCACATCGTAACACGCGCAGCGCCTACTGTTGGAAATGTCACAGCGGCTCAAACAAGCTTCTCGAGGAGGCAGAATCGACGGAGCGGTTCTCCGTGGGTTGTGCAAGTTGAGTAATCCGCCTGGTAAACGGAGGAAACATCGATACAAGCGTTCGGCGCTGGTTAGTCAACAAGTCGATCGTGACAGCGTAGCGTGACTGAGCGCATCGTCAAGCTCAGATACATCACTCTACGCCATCTTCACCGCTTGCGTAGGGGCATAGGTGCTGTTGGGTTTAGTGATCATTGCAGGTGTATACCCTATACATGCGTGGTAAGATTGACGGCGGTGGGGTGTTCAGGACGCGCCTTAGTTCGGCCGGCTCGAACCGGCCGAGGTGTGCCTTGCTCAGAGCGCGCATTGACCAAGTTCACACACTTTGCTTATACACATTGCAAGTTCGTTTGCAGCTGCAGGAGAACATCAGTCATCGATGTCGAATACAATTTCATAGGAGAAAAGGGGTTAACCGAATTTCAGCAAGCGCGTCTGTACACTCTCTGACGTCGAGACAAGGACCATCGTCTTTACGAGAAGTTTGTCTCGATTGAAGCGTGACGTAGATAGCTAAGCTTGAGATAGACATAAACACGGCTATTTATGTATTAGGATGTGAATTCTCTTCGGCGCATATACGATCCAGGTACATCCTTAATGGGTACGACTGAGGAAAGCAGAGCTTCGACCCAAGATAGGATACGAGCCGCTTCAACTCATAGCGAGGCTTCTAGGGAGTCGATGCCTTAGCCTCCTTCCCTTTCTTCCAGCTGGCGATGGTACGTCCATCAAAGTGAATCTGGTTGTAGTGTACCTGTAAACCATGTTCGCCCACATGACGCGTATATTTGCCAGTTGCTTCGCTGATAACATAGTCAAGTAGCTCGTAGTGCTCGAGATCCAACATACCTAAGCGGTCGAGAAGGACTAGAGAACAGCTGTACATGTTCTTCAAATGAAATCCTTTAGGAGCGCAACCTTGAGGGAAGCGAATGAAGATAGTGGGATGTTGAGTGTTGATGTCGAAAGTGAACTCCACGAGAGTACCTACACGGACGGTGTCGCGGAAGATCTTGAGCCAGGAATTGTTGCTGTTACTGAGAAATGTGTTTAGTCCCTTCAAGTACCGATAGCTCTCCTCCATTTCCAAGCGTGCTATATCGAAAGCGTCTTCGTGATCGCAATAGTCATCGCATGCGTCGAAAAGACGCGGCCTCTGCGTCTTTTGATCGGTCAGCAAAGAGCAGATGAATGACAAAGTGATATGGGACAACACATACCCGCTGGAACGCATGTCTGCTGTAGCGTATCGAGCTGGACGGGAATAAGTCAACTCGCTGACTGCTGGGTTGAGTGTAGTTGATTAGGCAGACGCGACGTCCAGAGAAGTGAGAGAGTCTTTTTTTTTCAATATGGAAGGAGCGCAGGAGCGCGACGCGAGTTCCCGTGATAAATGACGCAACAAGTCTACAACTCTTGGTAGTCGCAGAATTCGCGAAATCGAGAAGACATCTCTACCACCTAAAACAGTGTCTCATGCATGCCCAAACAAAACGACATGCGTGGAGAGGGTGCTGAAGTGGAAATGGAAATGGCAACTCAAGCACCAAGTTTCAGTCCCTCGCTTACCTACGGTATGGAGTGAATGCTAATCGTCGCTGGCGATGCGATGAATCAAACGTAGCGGATTCGATGACAGTGGTGCACAAGTAGCACATTGTGAGTGTTCCATTTCAATTGAATGATTTGAGGCCTCGTGGGAAGCTTTCCAGAAACGCGCACAAACAGCAGGCGCCAGTGAGTGCCCGTCGCAGTTTGCTTCCGCGCCGTACAACGAACAGCTACCACACAACTCATCCTCTGCTCTTTCAGACATTCTCCACGAGGTCATAAATATAACGCCTTGCTTGTCGACGCTGTCACCGAAAAGTGAACGTGGCGGTATGGCTTTGATTTTAACCTTGTCCTATTGGACGCTTGACAGGTGAACGCAACCACATACCATGGGTGGTGACAATGAACCAGGGCAATAGGGAATTAGTACCAGCCACTCGTATTGTTTCTCCTTCACCAGAAGGTTCTGCAACTCACGACAGCGAAAATTTCCACAATACCGACCCAGACTCACCAACCTCGGCTTCCAACTGCTCCAAACACCAAACTCCAGTCGCAAACTTGTAAGGTGAACTGTGATTCAAGTCTCCAAGGCAATCAAAACATCACGGAATCCTTGGCTTTGAGCGAAACAGATCAGTATGTTCTCACAAGACTGCTTCCCGTACGATCCAGAATCTGGGTTGTGTATCCACCAGCGCGACAGCACGCAATTCTTTCTGCTTGGGTGTAAAACATCCTCTTCCAGCAATGTGTATTTACGCGAGCTGCTCGGCCCTACGATAAACCTGCCAGCTATGCCTCGTAGCTGCCGCGCTATCGGTTTACCTCATTGGAGTGGCTTCAGCACGGCACCAGAGCGAATCGCACCGCCTGGGGAACTGAAAGCCTCAGACCTCTTGAGAGATCGCGGCATGATGCCCACTTACAACCCTCCGGCAGGCGAACGGTGCTACTTGGGCGCAGATCAGCTAAAGCCCATCGTACAGCCAGTCAAGTTTCGCGTCCATGACCACCGCGAGCGAAGGCGAGGAACAGACATGAGCTGGATGAAAGTGAGCGAGCAAGATGAGGATGCCAGACCGAAAACGAGCACAGCACCTATCCAGTTTTTCAGGCAAGCGCCGAGACGAGTAAACACCAGTTCAGAGCTCACAGCGTCCTTTGAGACAAGATCGATGGAGAAGAGAAGATTGACGTTGGCGGAGGAATTCGCGTCCGAGGGATTGGACTGTACGGAACTTCCTTCAACATCCGACTCAGACGACGAGGAGGAATGTGAAGATATCCGGCATGCCCGTCGATGAGACAATAGAGGCTGCTAAGCACCACTGCCTGCTTGATGGTCAACAGGTGTCGCATGGGGTAGCTAGGGGTGAAATAGCGGGCACAGGAACAAAGGTCCACACGTGCATCGGTTGGAGATTCATGCTGCCACAAGGCTCGTTGTATAGAATGGTCACATGGCCATATATCTGTACATGATTCTGAGCAGGCGACGAGCGGGGGAGTGTAAGGCGAGGCACGCTGTATCAAGACGGCTCGGTTGTTGGCTGGTCCAAGCTCTCTTGTGCATCGATGACAGCATCGATCATGGCCTTTAGCATAACTTTCGGTCTGTCCATAGAGATACGCCACAACAATCAATTGCATACAACGACTATGGAGCGAAGTCTACTGCAATGCACGCGTCTCTTTTCAAGATGTACAGCGCAGACATCATGTCGTAGTCTGCCAAAACATAAGCCCTCGGCCGTCGCATCAGCACGACAAGCACGCTTCCTACACACGACACGCCCCGCCCTTCTCCAATCCAAACCTCCCAAAACGCGCGATCGCGGCCCCAAGAGTGACGAAGACACACAGACCGATTTCAGCGCTCTTGACGTCCTCCGAAATACGGTTGCGCCTGCTACGTCAATCGATGCCTGCACAGGCGATGGCTTCGCACTCAACAATCAGATGCGCATTAGCGGGTGCGGAATTCTCTTAGTAGGCGGTGAAGCATATCGATGGCGGCCATGGCTACGCGAAGGAAGGAAAGAAGGTACTGTTGCTGGAGGAGGCACAGGAGATGATATGATGACGGGCAGACTGCTGAATGCAAAGGGCCAATGGGAAGTGCAGGAGCGGGCTTGGGGAGTGCTGGAGTTGCTATATCCAAAGCCTGGTATGTTTAGGGTTTCCCTACAAGGATTTGGCAAGAATGGAAACTGACAATGGCGTGGCAGATCTGCTCATCGTCGGCACCGGCCCCAACACTATCCCCCTTGCGCCTGCGGTTCGCAAATACCTCAACGATTTGGGCATACGACTAGAAGTTCAAGATACTAGGAACGCGGCGGCGCAGTTCAACCTACTCGCAACGGAAAGGGGTGTAGGGCAGGTCGCAGCAGCGCTTATACCCATAGGCTGGAGAGAGGGCCGAGGGATTTCGCACTAACCGTAGTATACAATCATCTCATCACAATTCCTCAGAAATCTCACGCCTTGGTGGCTCACAGCTATCCTAGATGACAATCTGCATGATAGCGAACATCCATACAGCAAAGATGCCCAGCCCGTATGGGCGTCATGGAAGACAAAGATTCGTCTTGTCTCTGCAGAAGAGGCGACAGGAAGGGCCAGCGACCAGCCACTATATAACGATACGAGCGGGTGAGTCGGCAATCTTGTAAGACATACTTACCAAGTTGAACACATTTATTGTATTATATTACCTGCAGGCATTCCATTGTTCTTAGGGGCCCGAAAATCAACTTCTGTACCCGACCTTCCTTTCGTATATTTTCTCTGTCATTGTCATCGCTATCTTTATCTACTTAGCTACGGGATATCTCGCGTTTGTTCGCGCACCCACTCGCGCCCGAGCAAACAAACGCTGATTTAATTTACAGTCGCGACCTCCTCGCTCAAACCGTCTCCCCCAACCACGCCTTCCCAACAAAGCACGTGGCCCGATAGCAAGTCACATCTAGCAAGCCAATGCTGTTCGACTACTTGAACCGCAACCTATCTTTCGTTCTCTCCATCGTCCTCATTGCGCTCACCCGAACTTGGGAAACAATGGAAGACGCTTCAATGAATGGGATAAGATGGGCGTTTGGCCCGCGTGTTGAGATTGCGGATGAGGAAGCAGCCTTGAATGCGAGGCCGCTACTCCTGTCCGAGAGCGACTTCCACGATGAAGGGGTGGGATGCAGCTATTCGCCGACCTCGAGTATGGACCACAACGATTCTTTCACCGTCGCAGAACCATCGATTATTCGTAGCCCGTCGCTTCCAGCAATTACACTCGATTCAGATCCTATGCATTCTATCCTCCGTTCGCTCAGGCTCAGCAACTTATCCCGCAACATCAATCGATTCCTGCCGTCCACAGACGCCGACCGCCACAGAGCGCAGATGGTGTCGCAAGCTCGCAAAGGCTCTCACACTTCACTAAGCCATATATTAGCACCCATTCTCGCAGACCTGCAGGAGCTGAAGGCGCTGACGCCCGAGAGTCTGCCGCCAGGCAACTTGGACCTTGCTACCAGGTCGCATGCTCAGGTTCTTAATGAGAAACTGCTGCCAATAGACAAGTTCATCGGAGACTACCTAGACAGCATTCCAGAGGCCAAGCGAGGTGTTCTCGAGTTGCGGATATGCCGCTATATTGCCGACGAATACTGGCCGTTGCCCGTCGAAAACTTCACCTACCTCAAAATACAGGAGAAATACCGCAATGCCCTCTACAAAAAGGCCCAACGCGCGACTGGCGGGCCAACCGTCGAACCGCCGCTGCCTGATGACACATCTTCTGGCCGCCCATCATCTGAAGACCCACCACCGGAGGCTACAGAATACAAGGATACATTGAGCCAAAATCCTGTCATCATGAGTTCAGAAGCCGTCTCAAGCGTAGGGAACAGGGATTTGAACAGATAGTATCATGTGATGATCTCATTCATAGACATTTTACCCCTAGAGCTAGAGAATCCACAATCACGGACCAGGGATTGTGTTCTGAGCATGTCAATATTCAACAAGGAATGTTGCGGCTTTTGGGACGGCTCGTTCGAGATCGATAGCGACAAAGTCATCTGGAACGCCACGATGGACCCTGCCATCATCTTTTTCAATTTCCTCCTGCCTGCAGATCATATGACCGACAATGTTCTACCGCTCCTTCAAGCACGTAACCTGCTTGGTGGCATTCCATTGCAGGTAGCCTCAGCTCTCAACGAAGAGTATAAAAACGCCAGAGAATTCCTGGCTCTCCGTTACGCTGCAGACATCGCAGACCTTATCGTTTTTCTGACCCGCACACGACCAGACCTGGAGCCCTTCGAAGTCTTATGGTGTGCAGTACACGCAACGGTATAGGTAAATCGTGTAGCGTGTGAAAAGTACAAGAAGATACCTACGACGATCCGCGAGAGAATCAAGCGAGATGCGACAGCACATTGTCGTGCTATACTGCACAATCCGCAATTCAGATTTGTCGGTCCCTTACTTGGCCATGCGCTCAAGGCGCTTGAGGTCTATATTCGTCCTTTAGCTACTGGCTCTTCATCATTGATCTGGATCGATGCTCAACTTCTGCACGACCTACACGACATACACGAGCTAAGTATGGATGGCGCGAAAGCCCGCAAAACTTTGTTCGATTACCTACAACACAGGCATCCTGGAGTGGAGACGCTGTGGCACAGCCTTGTTCAGATGTACAACACTTACGACGCAAAAAACTTTCCTCAATACAGTACTAAGCCGATGTCAACGCCAAGTCTGATTTTATGGGAGTCCTTTTACAGGCACATCCGAGAGGATGTGCCATTGGAATACCCGCAGTCGCGGCCATTAGTCTTGAAGCGGAAGGACAATCTTTCGAAATCGCAAGGGACCGTCGAAGAAGGTGAAAAGAAAAGATCGAAGAGGAAAAGGAAGAGTAGATCGAAGGGTGATAGGGATGTTAAGCCGGTGGAAAACCCAGCTTTGCCAAAGCACCACCCGCTTGAGACTCAACCAGTACTTGGGGAGCAGCCGGTATCTCAGCAGCAATCTTCTGCAGCCACTGTCGAGATACTTCCGTCTTTACCTACAGCACAACAGCCGCTTGAGAAGAGCGAGCGGGAGCCATCGAAGAAGGACAGGAAAAGTATGAAGAAGAAGCTAAAGAAACTCAGAGCTGCTGAGCGATCGGAGTCGTCTGTCGCGGAGTACAAGCGATCGGTCGTAGGCAACAACGCTAATAGCGGCGGCAATGCCACTAGCATGAGGACGACAATGGTAGAAGTATTGAAGGACGACGATTGTGGCAGTACTGATGAGGATGATGATAATGATGATGGCGTCTGCTTGACGTCAGCTAGAGATCCCACCGATAATACGTCAGTCAAGGAAAGTCCCGCTCGGGAAGACTCAAGCGACAAAGAGGCTGCAGCGCAAAAGAGCAAGGTATCCGCAGCAAACGTGTACATCAGAGTATCAGCTGAGAAGCGCACACTTCATGGTAGTTGTGGTGACACTCCAAATTTCGAAGAAGAGGATCACACAAAATCCTTGGGTAGTTGGCAAAAGGTTGGAGTGCGCAAAGACTTGCCGCAGAAGCAGAAGCAGCGCGAGAATGATCGCAACATCGGCAAAGATGTACCCAATACGACAAGCCATATTCCCTTCGATGCGAAACCACTGCCAGCTAAAGCAAACGTTCCAGTATCATCAGCCAATTCGTTGGAATACGACGCAGAACCACGATCCATGAAGGTGAATGCCCCAGTGCCGTGCATGGTCACCTCCGAACTGAGGAACGACAACAATCAAGTCCCTCTAGATCAATGTACGTCGTGGTCAGCGCTTTTCAAGGGTTTCACAGATGCAAGAAGGCGCCGGTCCTTGCAAAATTCCGATGTATCCACGGATACTGCGGGCGCACAATCGCTTACATCACCTGACACGGAGAGCCACGGATCTATCCAGAAGAACCTCCCGTCTCTTGATCACTGCCCACTTGTGCGATCAGAGACTTCGATAGATGAAGAGGTGTCGAAGAGTTCTGCCGCTTATAGCGCGACCGCGCTGCGACCTCTAGAAGATGCCGATATGTCGGTCGATTCGCTTGCCGTGAGAGACGCAGACATATCACATGTAGAGCAATGGCTCATGATCAGATATGCGTCTGCTTTTGTTGGGCTTACGCAAGCGGAAATTGAGAGTGCACACTGGCGACCTGAGTAGTCGAGCATCACTATGGTTATGGATCGCTTTACCTTCTACAAACGTGATATGGAATGCCCGAAGGAGTAATGGAGGAACAGCGATGTAAGGAGTCGCAATATTATCTGTTTCGTACTTTTGGGCAGTGGCGCAGTGATGGCACGTCATGTAGAAGGCTTAGAGGTACCGCATTAAATCCTCGAGACAACCAATCTTCTAGATCGTGCCCGTATATCGTATTTCGTTAGCGCCGGGCGATGCAGGGTTTCAGGGTACGCGAAAGTGGATCCCGCATCTTGTTCCTGAGCGCACGGTCTCATGTCGTAGGGCTATCCGCGTATTCGTCTGGCAGTGGATCTTTACACAGGCTTGTGCACTTTGGGCGCAACTTGCGAGCAGGATTTCAGTTGTATAAGGAGGAGTGGTATGCATGTTGATGAGTCTTGCAAACCACACATTCACTTCATCTGCTTTCATCTGTTCATTTTCTTACACACGACTTTCTTTCTTTTTACGTTCGTTTACAGCAATTACCCTTCTTCTGTAAGAGGTGCTCGCTTCCTCTTCACCGCATTGTACTGCACTTCTAGACATCTCCAACTGAGAGTACCCTCGGAATATCACAATGGCAGGTGACACATCTTCCCAAGCCGGAAACAATGGTCTCTATCCCTACTCCCCTAGTGAGGTCGGTGCCATCCTCTTTGCTGGGCTCTTCGGCCTAAGTACACTCTATCATCTTTTCCAGATGATCAGAGGACGAGCATGGTTTTACACTGCATTCGTCGTCGGAGCAATAAGTACGTTCTCTTTCCCTTACGTACATCCAACACGTTTTCCAGAACTTCGCATGAACTAACGGTCTACCAGTGATGACGGTCGGTTACGCAGCCCGCTATCTTTCTGCTCAGTCCCCCGCCAAACTGATGACCTACATCCTCCAATCGCTCTTCATAATCCTGCCTCCCTCTCTCTACGCCGCAACAATCTACATGATCTACGGACGCCTCGTCATCTTCGTAAACGCTGAACACGCATCAATCATCCGACCTACACGGGTAACCAAGATCTTTGTTTGCGGTGATGTCCTCGCATTCCTCATGCAGGCCAGTGGTGGAGGTATGATGGCGCAGGCTAGCATGACAGACATGGGACAGAAGATCATGTTGCTCGGACTGTTTGTGCAGTTGTTGTTCTTTGGGTTCTTTGTGGTGATTAGTGTCATCTTCTATATGAGGATGAGGAGTTCGCCACAGAGACATACCATCCCACAGTATGGAAAGTATGGGTGGCCGGCTTTGGTAAGTCTCTCTCTCATTATGGTTCTTGCACCCTTCTTCTTACTTCGAGCCATACATCCCTTTTCGTCAAGGAAATATACACTAACAGTATGGTAGTACAAACTTCTCGCCATTGCGGCCGTCGTCATCATCCTCCGATGCATTTATCGCGTTATTGAGTTTGCACAGGGCCACAGTGGGTACCTGGCTTCTCATGAGATTTACATGTATATCTTCGATACGCTACCAATGTTCGTGGTTCAGGTTTTGTTTCATGTTGTACGTGCAGATGACGTGTTCGGGACGAACCATGGGGCAGCGAAAAAGTTAGATAGCGAGATTATTGGGCTGTACGAGAGAGCTTGATGGCATCAATGTAACCGCGCTCTTTGCAGTATCATTTTACTAGCGGCGACAAAGATTCCCAGCATTCACAAGGCGTTTGGTTGTCATGGCATGGGTTTGGGCATGGGTTTTAGACATTATTGGGAAGCGCACTTTCCAGATCCAAATGAATTACGGATACACAAGAAGGTCCCCAGTATGCGAGTCATATAAACGACTATAACCTGCGGATGTTGCAAGTTGATCTTGTTGTGTCAAGGGGTCGGAATCGTCCGTTAGTACAACCAGCCGGAACCCTATTGGCCAAACCATATCGGGTTAGATCTGTTCCTTTTTATCTGTAGTGCTAATGCAGGCTCCACCGCTGCGTATTTCGTTCTTCGTTTCTCGTTTACCCTCTCGTCGCCTGGGTACCTCTTCCACTCCTTTTTCTTACACAACGAGCCAAGCGGGGATTGCAATTGGTCAGACTCAATGGTTTTGAAGAGAAAAGCTCACACAAAATCGCGGACGGGCTGTGGCACCTGTAAACGTCGCCGAATCAAGGTATGGCTCATTTCTTATGCGAACACCTGTTCTGACGCATGACATAGTGCGACGAAGAAAAGCCGCGATGTTCGCACTGCGTCCGGCATGAAGTTGCATGTGTGTATCCAGAGTTGGTGCCACCGCGAGCCAAAAGCTCAAGCGCAGCCGCAACATCTCCCGGACTGCCACCAACAACTCCAGATGCATTACTACACTTGGCTACACCTCAGAACGATCCTTTCGCGGCCAGCACACCATGCTCAGAAACGAAAATTATCCCCTCGTTTTCGCTCAAAGACATGTCTTTGTTGCACCATTGGACAGTAGCCACGAGCCATTCGATACTACCGGGCGTGCCAGCAGTCAACCGACTTTGGCGGGATGTTTACCCAGAAATCGCATACAATCACGCTTACATGATGCATAGTCTCATCAGTCTCTCAGCTTTACATATTGCCTATGTTCGTCCAAGCGATAGACGCGCAAATCTACACATTGCCGCGCATCACCACACGCTCGCTCTTAGCGGGTTCAGGGCAGACACTTACTCTATCAAGCCAGAAAATGCTGATGCAATACTGGCCACTTCAACACTCATGTTTTTCTACGCCTTTTGTACATTCTCCAAACTTTCAGACGAAATGGTGGGCATACAGCATGATGGCGACAGTGCCAGCATCTCAGCTCGTACATCGCGTATCCTCGGTGCAGAATGGATACCACTAATCCACGGCGTAGGAACCGTGATACATCCGGTATACGAGTACCTCAAAGAAGGACCTTTGCGATCAATGCTCCATCTGAAGGACTGGGATACTATGGACCCTGACCTACACCCTGGGCCTGATGACGAGCACTTGTTGCGCATCAAACAAACTTGGGCGGACGACGAACACAAGACAATTTACGACGAGGCGTTGTACGTGTTAAGAAAGATGAATGCGTGGGAGGTACATTTCAACAATACTTGGGAGACGCAACAAGAGGAGTGGGAATACAATGGTGGCTATTCCGCTGTAAGTTACTCAATATCTCTCTCCATCTCAAATGGACGATTTGACTAATGAACGATATTTTCTTTCATCGGTACAGCCGTTTGTCTGGTTATCAGTAGTCCCCAAGGAGTACTTCAAGCTACAGCGGCAAAGGCAGCCTTTGGCTTTGCTCATCTTTGCCTATTTTGGTGCACTACTAGAGCAGATTCTTCAGGATTGGTGGACAGATAGTTGCGGGAAGAGTATCGTCGATGTGGTCGATGATTGCCTAGGATCGTACTGGGCTGAATGGATGGCATGGCCAAAACAAGTTGTCAACCAACAGCAGCAACAACGTTATCAGCGAAAAGCCGAGAGCTAAAGGATTCGGATTCCTCACGATCCAAAGTAAGAGGTCGTTTCTCAAGGCTCAACCCCAAATGCCTCATAAACCGCCGCAATAAAAGCTTTTGTCCTGGTATTACCCATACCGCCTTTACCCCCCTCCTGCTGCCCTAGCCCGGCCGCCTCCATCTTGTTCATAACATAGCTAATCGTTAACTTTCTGTCAGCATCAGCGACAACCTGACTTCCACCCCACCCTCCCCAACTCGTCACGCGTCCCTGAGGTAGATTTGCCATCATGCTTCCTTCGGCGGGTAACGCGAACCCGAGTCCGAGACGAACCTTCACTGGTATAACGAGATCCTTGTGCTCTTGCTGCGTTGAGAAGATTTGGTCGATGGTTTTGGTGGAGAGAAATGAACGGTTTTCCAGAGAGATGACGGAGAGGAGGCGGACAAGGCCGCGGGCGTTGCTATACCCGTTCCCTGCGGCGATAGTAGAATTTCTCAAGAGGGACTGATTGGCCCAGTTGGCGTCCATACCAGGGTTCTTGCCTAGAGACTTGAACGTGAGATTGTTTGGATCGAGTGCAAACGCCTGCATCTCTTCTTTTGCGGGCATTGGTGGAGGGATGATATCAGCGACTCTGCTCCACTCCTTCTCGGGAATGCCGAGTTGGAAGTCCGCGGCGAGTGGGCGGGCGAGCTCTTCGGCAATGAATTCTTGAATCGGCTTTCCTGTTACGCGACGGACTAGTTCGCCGACGAGGTGACCCATTGTCCAGGCATGGTAACCAGTCGCCGTACCAGGCTCCCACCAGGGCGCTTGTTGCTCGAGGAGCTTTGTGCTCTTCTCGATGTTGCACATATCTTCTATAGTGATGGACTCCTCCCATCCACTCAGTCCGCTCGCATGCGAAAGAAAATGTCGGACTTCCACGCCTTCCTTGCCATTTGCAGCGAATTCAGGCCAGTACTTTGACACTTTCTCGTATGGATCCAGTAGCCCGCGGTCGATGCATACCAGAGCTGCCAAGGCGCAGACAGTCTTGGTAGAGGACCAGATACACGTTACAGTGTCTTTCTCCCACGAGCGAGTTCGAGCTTCATCTGCGTAACCGCCCCAGATGTCGACGACGTCTTTGCCGTCGACGTTGACGCAGACAGAGGCGCCGAGCTCTTCTCCAGAGTCGAGATAGGACTGGAAGAGGTCTTTGACCTTGGCGAAGCGGGGTTCGCAGGTTCCTTGGACTTTGGCCATCGTGATAGAAGTTCCTGCTGAGGTTCCGGGTACCTTCGAACGTTTTTGTATCGTATGTGTGTTGCATTCGCCATGGTCGGGAATCTGGAGAACCAGCTTTTATAAGTATCTACTGCTGTAAGCAAACATGGCAGATTAGGGCACCGGGTTGACGAGTACCCGAACTTTCGCGTTGCTGGCATAACAGACATGGAACTAGCGGAACGAGTAAACGAATTCCCGAAGTTTTGCGTTTCACGTATTGGTTACGGAATTGCGGTATTCCGATTCCGCCATGTGAAGGACGATAGTGGATTCTACCTGCGGGGTTCGTCTCGTATGGCGTCCATCTTTTGACGCCGCGGGGACCAACGCCCGAGAGTGGAGTACCTATTGAACAGTGACCGTGAGAGGCAACAAGCCAACGAAAAGTGCTGAGATCACATGGCTACATGTCTTGGCCAGATCCTTGCTCCTTTCTCACCTCCAGGGCTAGGTCGTAGACAAACAACCGTACAACCTCTCATCTTGACCAAATACTATGACATGGAAACGTTCAGGGACAAATTCCGGCACGAGTGGTGCTATTGACTATAGTAGTGCTTGACGTTAGGTGTAGTACCAGTCCCTTTTCGATGTTCTCGCGCGGAGGATCGGCGGTATTCCACCGTTCTCCGCAATTCGACAAGCGGTAAAGGCGGGAGCAGAGCTACCGAGCGCGGAGAAGCCCGGGATTTGATATTCCAAGAGTACGGAGATACAATGGTTTAAAACCGAGTGAAAAAGAATCAGAGTACTTGTATCTACGACTCGCGCACTATTTTCTCTTCTATAAAGTATCACCTATTTGTTGAAACGCAAGCAACCACAGCCGCTACAACTCCCTGTATGCGAGCACTTGTTCATCATCATATGTCTCGGCACCATTGCCCCAGTTTCTTTTGAGTGATTACTACCCGTAAGCTTCACTTGAGGAACTTACTCACAAGACCTTTTCCACCTTTGATCAGGTTCTTTACCTCCCTCTTGATATCATCCGTCGAGTTGCCGCCCTGATGTCCTGGCTCCATGACCCCCCCCCCCGCCCCCCCAGCACCGCCACAATGACCTTGGCCTCCACAAGCGCCCCCAGGACAACCTTGGATGAAATGCTCGATTTCACCACAACATCTTCCACATTCGCCGGAACCCATGAATGGACCTCCTTGGCCCCACCCGACGCGCATGACGCGCGCTTTACGACCTTCCCATCCCGTTTTCGCATCAGTAGCGTGGAAGACGCCCCAGACTTCTGGACCACCGGGGCCGTTGACTAGGACGAAATTTCCGTGACCTGGTCCATAGGGTGGAGAATCGTCGCGAGCGGCTTTGAGAAGAGGTTTGTTGGACTTGGCCCAAGAATGTGGATCGAGAGGGTGACCGCCAGTGTAGTACAAGATATTCATCTTGTACTCGTGTGTCCAGCTTCCCGCGCAACTGTACACAAGGCCCATCCAACGGCCATCAGGAGAGCAGAGAAACTGCGGACCCTCGTTGATGCCGCTGCTACCAGAAAACTCAAATTGCAGGTCTGGTGTGCTGATGCGAATGGGATGACCGGTACATTCTGTTGGCGACACCATCTCGATGATGAAAATTTCCTGGCGAGATTCATCGGCGTGCGTACCGAGGGGCCAGCCAGAGTAGACAAAGAGCATAGAACCACTGAGCGTAACAACTGTGCCGTCGATTGCCCATTGCTCTTCAGGGAGGCCACCTAGACGGCCGAAAAAGTTCCATTTGCTTGGTTCGAGAGGGTCCTCCTCTGATGATGGTCCAGCAAGGACATACATGCGGTGTGATTTGTTGCCATGTTTCGGGTCGTCAGCAGCAAAGTATACATACCACCGACCGTGGATTGAGTGTAGTTCGGGCGCCCATAGATCGGCGGAGTAGGGCTGATCTGGTGGAGGACGCCAAATTACGTTCTTTTTGCACTTCTTTTCGAAATCGAAGAGGGAGTCTGCAGACCAGATCTCGATGTGGCCTCCGCAGGTAAAGGTCATATAATATGTACCCTTGTCCCAGAGTACGTACGGATCCGCACAACTGCTGTGCGTGATGGTGAGAATCGTATCGTTGTATGCAGGTCTCTGTTGAGGCCATGTCGGCTGCAGTTGTTGCGCCATGTTGTCGACCGTTCTTTGCTTTGCTCCGATTTCTAGTGCTGGCAGGACGTATAGCTTGGATAGACCTGGACCTCTGGAGGGGTAATCGAAGTCTGCTTTCCGAAGAAGCGCAAGTGTAAGCGGTTTAACAATCTAGAACTATCCTGGTAGCGGTGGCTGCGTGGGCATGTGGTCTCAGCCCCGTCAGGCGCACGCGCGTAACAGCTGTATGATGACGTCATCGTTTACATTCGTTTCCTTGGTACCACAACAGCCGGGGAACTTTACCTTGAGCAATAGGCATGGGAACGGTCCGAAAGGGTGGGAACGCATGGTGCGAAACAATTGGCAATAATTGCCGAGGCGAAAACAGGGTCCAAAAAAGCGCTGATGTGGGGAAGGTGCAAGCCACCTTACTGATTGTAGCGGTGACTAAACATCCTAAATCGTGTTGTCATTCCACTACCAACTAAAGATTCTTCCTACTCCAGCTATATTACCATATAACAAGCCGTCCGTGTTCGTAGTACCTCATAGTTCAGTCTGAATAGGCCGATTATTCAAGACGGCTTACCCTATGCCCTAAACCTATGCCTACATGAAGTCTGGCACAATATCGTCAACCGACCAGTGCCATAATAAACAATAATAATATGTCCTGTAATGGGTTCCAAGCCTCACATGCCCTCGTGTCCTGACGTCGCATCGAAGAGGTGGTATCCAGCATTGCTGGTGGTAGTAGCCAAGAAAACACAGATTGGTGGATGCTATGAGGCCGTGGGATCCGTAAACGCCATGCCAGATGTAGAGAGCTGAAGAATGGCAAAACACATTGCAATGAAAGGTCGCCCTTGAGATATACGACGTAGTCGTATCGTACGTTAAAATCAGTTTGTGTGTCAGTTGTCGCTTTACAGCTCTGTTTTGAGCGTTTGGTCGACAGTGAGCTCGCCGGACTCGATGCGGTCTACGCGAAGTACGAGCTCCTGTATTATGATCAGCATGTGTACAAGTTACTGTTGCTTTTGTGCAGCTCACCTTGAGAGCCCTAGCGGTCTTGAACGCAAGTGGCGGGATCTTCTCGCGACCCTCACCCCTGATGTCGACGGAAAGCATGTTTTGTCTGCATTCGTCAAGCACCTCTACAACGGGAAGCGCATGCTTCTTCAATGCAGGGTTGGAAAGCTGGTTCACAGCATCGTAGGTTTTGTTGCCAGTGTCATCGACTGCTTGCGAGATGTCTTGGATGTAATCGTAGATTTGCTGCTCATCCCCAGGAGTAGATTCGGGGTTTGCACGGATGAGGTTAACTAGTGGTTGTATGCTCTGAACAAGGGTTGCTGTTTGATCCTCGAGGTAGTTCTGTACCCGTTAGCAGGTATGATTATTAGGCTTGTTAGGAACATACCTTGAACTCAATCATGCCACTATCGCCTGTGCCATTGGCACCGTTCATGCCGCCGGTTTGGCCATCGTATCCACTGTATGGAGAACTGTAGGCGCTGTATCTAGTAGTATCACTGCTGCCGCCTTTGCTGCTGCGACTGCGGTGATGACCGTATGCTGAGGGGACACCGCTGCTATTCGTGTTGTCGTTGAGATTGCTTGGCGAGGAAGCATTGTAGTTGTTGTATACGTTCGACTTTAACGGCATGGGCCTATCGGCATCCTCGTCATCTCCTTCGAGTTCGTCTTCCGGTGTGGGCCGTACTTTGACGTGCTTGACCAGCTCCACAACGGCTGTCGACAAGTGACTAGCTGCAGCGTCCAGCAGACTGACTGGTGATAATCCCCCAGATGAAGTATGATTCTTGGTAGCTGTGATAAGGTTGTTGGCTGTAGCACTAACGCGAGACTTGAGTTTTGCTTGCTGCTTCTCAGGACTCGCGAAAATGTCACCACTCACACTACTGGTAGGAGACTGGATCTGCGAAAGAGATGTGCTATCGATATCGCCCGTGATGGCTCGTACACATTTCACGACATGACGCATACTCTCGAGAGTCTGCTCCGAATTTGCTCTTCGCGCGTTTTGAAGCAGCTCATCAATGCTCAGCTGGAACTTGGTAACATGGACGTCCTTGACCAGTCCGTCCGGTGTTGCAAAAGCAGCATCGCGGGAGTAGTTGAGCAGATCCGGCGACGCAAGTTGCGATAAGCCCATAGAGGATGCTTTCAAATTTCGAAGCTGCGTCTTAGCCTTGGCGTATCTCGATTTCCAGTCCTTGAGCTCAGCCTCTAATGATGACACTTGATTCGCCATCTGCTCTTCCTTCTCGGCTGCGGCATCGCTGCGTGCTGACAGTTCCTTCATCTCTTGCAAGAACATGGATGCGTCTCTCCGTACTTCCTCTGCTACCTGTTGTTGTTCGTTCAATTCCCGTTCAAGCTCCTCGCACCGTTGTCTCCATTGAGCGTCTCCGTCATCGTACGCTTGCTGAGGCGGGCGGGACTCGAGATCTGCGATCTGGGCACGGAGGCCATTCTCGACACTTTCGTTTTCGCTGCGTAGTTTGTCTATTTCGGAACGAAGTGAGGAATTAAGATTCTCTGCTTTCTCAACCTTCTCCTCGAGCGCATACCGGAGTTCGTCCCACTCGGCACGCTCAGAGGCCGAAGCGCCATCGCGTGTTCTATCGTCGTCTTGGAGTCGCTGCAGCTCGTCGTCCTTGTTACGTATGGTAGCCTCTAATGAGTCAACCTTGCCCTGCAACTCAGAGACTTGGTTTTGCAAATCCGCAGTTATCTTCTCGTGCGCCATGCTNATGCTCTTTGCGCTCTTATTTGTCTGTCTTCTCGCAGCAGCGCCTTCTAAGTTAAATGCATCGTCATCGTCCGCTCCGCTATCGTCGTCATCTTCGACTAGTGTGCCCTTGTTTGGCACAATTGTGTTGGATTGGAACGTCTTCGGAAGCGGGCGCCCGAAAGAACCTGGCTCGTTCCCTGAACCGGGCCGCAGTCCTCCCGGTGGACCTGGAGGTCCTCCTGGGGGCCCACCCATAGGCCCCATGGGCCCGCCCATTGGAGGTGGCCCTCTATAGCCCGGTCCTGGCGGGGGTCGTCCGCCCATGCTATTCGGTGTGCCGCCTCTACTCGGAGGCCCTCTATTACTTATGCGACTTGCGATGCTGCCGTTGGGGCTCGAGGGTCGTGGGTGCATGTCACCCCCGGTGAAGCGCGGGAATCTCCGTTCGAGTTCGTAGAAGACGTCGGTTGCGAGTTGACGGAAACGCTCGAGAGGCAGTGTGGAGAGCTTTTGCCTCGCCTGGTTGCGCTTGGGATGGAAATTATTCTTGGGTAGAAGGTATTTGGGAGTGTCGTTGCCAGGCGCACCTGGCCCTCCCCGCTTGCGGTCCGTTTCTCTGCGTATCGACTCATCATATACGTCGGTGCTGAGCTCCTGGAACTGGACAGCAGATAGTCTGGTCAGCTTGTCCTTGGCCCTGCTCGGACGCGGATTGCCCTTCTCGTCATTGAGGTAGGGCCCTAGGTATGCCTTGAGCACTCTAAAATGTTCCGACATGGTCTCCTCTAGCGCCTGCATCTTCCTACCATCCATGATGGGGCGTGTACTATCACTTATGCTCGAGGCATACAGTCCCGTGCCGTCGCTCGATCGGCCTACTGAACTGGGCGGCGAGGGGTTTCCATTGCTGGTGCCAGGGCGCATACCATTGAGCATGCCGCCATCGGGGTTGCTGGGCCCATATGCGTTGGGAGGGATCGTGGGCGAGTATGGGTTGTCGCCGGCGATGTTCCGGTAGCCTGTAATGGGCGACCACTCTTGGCTGTCGGTGGAGAGGGGCGACAGAGCGCCATTACGCGTGTTCATGGCATTCATGGTGGCTGCGTCGCGTTTCACCCCGCGGGTTGCCGCTGTCAACCAGGATCGTATCCGTATCGGAGCGTGTTAGTGGGCTTCAGACTGGAGCGAAGGTTTGCAAAAGCAGTGCGGAACTGGCAGAGTGGCTGCGGAGGAAGGCTGCTGGTGAAACTTTAGGCGTGGTAGGAGTCGACGGACGCCCGGCACTGTTCCGAATCTGAATGTGCGATGCGGTGAAGGAGCGGATGCAAACAAAGCAGTGCGTCAACTAGCCAAGGGAGTGTGAATGCACGCCAGCGTCTAGTCAAAGAGGCCGCGGTGCGAAGAGAGAGCGACGGTGATACGAGTATGCAGGAACCGGCAGCCGGGGCCAACAACTCTTATGAGGCTTTCCGCTGCTGTTATCCAATGTCGGTGATGCTGCCCCTTTCGCCTGCGCCTTGGCTGGGGGATTTAGGCGCTAGCTGCCCGCCGCGCGGGCGACGACGATGCATGGCAAGGGCGCTCGAACGGCCGCTCGAGGTTTCCATATCACCGCTCGACAGCCTGGAGCGGTTATGCCTGCCTGGCTTTGTTTTGCTGCATTGCATGTCTTGTCACCGGTCAAGCTTGCTTTTTCCCAACTTGCATGGCCCTTCGTAGTCAGCCTGTTTACGAGGAGATTACCATGGCCATCCCGGGCCTCGGGTCTGGCCCGGCGATCATGGCCAGTACTATGGAGACGGTGCTAATTTCGTGCAGCGAGTACGCAATTTGATGGGGTATAGAACAGTATATCGTATAGCAACTACCACGTACAAGAGAGCCATCTGATGCCGGGCGACTCGCTCGTGGCTTTTCCCACTCAGCGCCTCTCCCGCACGCCATCAACCAAGTGCGACTCTGCCAAGCCACAGCACCTGTCTAGTCTGTCACGTGCCAAAACGTGAACCCTCAATGCCAGCGTAGATTGGTCTCAAGCCCGTCCCTAACGTGCTCTCTTGATCTTTGAAGGCGCCTGATTCCTGCACTCCGGACAAAGCCAGTCTCCCAATGGCTCCTCCTTGATACCTACACACTCCCAGTGGAACCACTGATACCGACAATTGTCGTTGTCGCACGCTACCATATCGCCGAAGCTGACGCGCTGGCATGTGCAGTACTTGGTGTCATCCGACTCGTCCTCCTCTGCATCGCCGCCTCCCATGCCTGACATGTCCTCGTCTTCCGTGCCTGCCTCACTTGCCACACTCTCGTCGTCTGCAGTTGTCGACGGCGATGCTCGGGATCCACCCTTGCGCCGTTTCTTGTTGACCCCGGACTTGGCTGTAAGGGCTGCCTTGCGCAGCGGTTGCTGAGGTTTCGCCTTTTTGACTGTGAGTGCATTCTTTTGCGGTCGGGGTCCTACGCTGCCTGCGCGTGAGCCTGGTGTTGAGGGTTTCGGAGTCCCGGGCCCTATGGACCCTTGTCGGCCCAGGTTTGAAGATGCTGCAGGGAGGGGACCAATGCTTCCTGTCGGCCGGCGACGCTTGCTGTCGCTTCCCGCTGAGAGTTCCCGCTCCTGTCGTGCATTTGCTTGTATGGCACTTTGCGCGTTGGTCAGTCGCTGTTGGTTCAGGAGCGCTTGTGTTTGCATGTTCTGCAGTGATGGGTTCATCCTCGAGTTGAGGCCCACATTCGTCGCATTTGTCAGTCGCGCGATGGCAGCTGCCTGGGCGAGATTTGGAGCGCCGCCCCCATTACCAGACACGGGGAGCAGCGGTGTGCTGGACCCCGTATTCGATTGTGACGCTGGCGGGACCAAATTCGCAGGAGAGTCCCTGAGCAGCGAGGGCATCTGGGGGTCAGTGGGTATTGAGCCATCATTCTGCAGGTCGCGCAGCTTGATATCCAGGCGCTTTACATGCCGGTCGAGCTATGTTGTTGTAAGTAGGTAGAACGAACATTGCAGATCAACAACGTACAAGTGCAGCAGCTTTATCGACAAGTCCAATCTTCTCTTCTTGCAGTATCTGCGCTTTCTCGTAATTTGCCATGATGGTTTTCGAATATCCAGCCTCTTTTGGATTCTCAACTAGGCTTCCGTTGAGCTTGATGAATTTCTGTATGCTGCCGTCTCGCTGCTGTATTGCAGAGCGCAGTTCTTGAATCTGATTGTCCTTGGCTTGGACTTCTTCGTAGAGATGCGTGATCTCTGCGGGAAGGTTCGCGACTGCCACATGTCAGCTGCGGTGATCGTGTTAAAGATGACAAGTGGAAATACCATCATGTATGAACTGTTCGAGTACTGTCGCTGCATCTTCTGCGATAGCCATGTTGAGATGTTAGGTCCTATGTCGTCGGGCGTATAGACGCGTGTGGCAATGATCTTGTCAAGGTATACTTCGCGCAGCCACGACGCGGTCGATAGGACCCGCTAGAGAGCAAAGGGGCAGAAAACGAGTTGCCTGCCCGTTGCACTTGCAATTTTGATGAAATTTGATGGAACGTTGATGCCTTTGGGAGTGAACGAGCCGTGTCGCGACAGAGAAAGAAACAACGCAGCGCAAAACCTTTCCGTTCGACCCTCACTTCGTGTCCACTTTTCTTTTGGTGCTCAAGTTCTGTTTGTATCTTGAGTCGGATTATTTCGTAAGCTTCGCTCTCGCGATAGACTAATGGAGTCGTGTTGTAACGCGTTGACATGCAGGAACAGCCGCTGACAAAGAGGCTCGATTACGTGTTCGGCAAGATGCTGCGCTATCATACCCAATCAGATGATTGCGCCCAAGACAAGGTTGGCTCATCCACCGCAAGCGAACCTTGTCACGACGACAACTACAATCACAACAAAGAAGACATTCAGAACGAAGACCAAAAAGTTCTCGCATACAGTCACGATTCTACCGGCGCACATGTCGACCCTCAGCTCGCTGCTCTCCTGAACGGACCACAGTGGCAGAAATCAAATCCGAACACGTGTCGCGCGACCAGAGCAGACTACAGCTGCAAGAAGCCGTCGCAAATTGCAACGAGAAAACGTCCTCGTAAAGCAAAGGTAAACATCCCTTCTCTACACCAAACATCCCATCCAAACAACGAAGACTCATAATATTGTGTCTACTGATTTCTGGAGGCTTGGGAAGCTCTGGTATTCTTCGACACTCGCTAACTGCCGCAGTACCGTGCAGCGGACGATAATCGGATCCCGCATCCTGTGCTCGAGCCTAAGACTCTAGCACGTTGGAACAGAATTTGGGAAGAGGAATTGAGGCCCGAATCTTTCATTAAGACATTCATCAGCAACAAAGACGACCTGAAGCGCTAGATCTACGAGGGTGCTCCGAACCCACGTCTTATCAACCCAAACAGAGGATTTCACGACGACGCGTGACAGGTTCCTCGAAACATGCGAGTTGCCGGTTATGCTCCGCCAGGCGGACCCAGTGATATTGTGCAGGAGTACCTCTCTCCGGACGATCCTTGGGTCGCCAATTACCAGGATTTCAAGGTACTTACTGATGCCGAGAAAAAGGACGTGATTGCGCGTGAAGCCGAAGAACATGGTCTCGAGAGGCCGAAAGGCTGGAATGTGTCTTTTCATTATAATCCGCACGTGGAGTATCATCACTTTGGCAGCTCACATCCGATGAAACCATGGCGTCTGACGCTGACGAAACAACTCGTTCTTGCGTATGGGTTGGAGTATACCATGGATCTCTTCGAGCCAAGACCAGCCAGCTTCCAGGACCTTGCTGTGTTCCACGACCGCGAATATCTAGCCTACCTCAGCAAAATCACTCCTCAGAACGCACAGCCTGAGGACCCTCAGTATATAGCGTATGGCTTTGGTGGCGAGTCGAACGACTGCCCAGTATTTGATGGACTGTGGAACTACGTATCACTTTATACGGGTGCCACAATGAGCGCTGCCTACAATCTCATCAACAACCAGTCTAATATCGCCATCAACTGGTCTGGAGGCTTACATCACGCGAAAAAGAATCTTGCCTCCGGGTTCTGCTATGTCAACGACATTGTGATAGCGATCCAAACCCTGCTCTCGCGGAATCAGCGCGTCCTGTACATTGATATCGACGTCCACCACGGCGATGGTGTGGAACAGGCGTTTGAGTCTACAGATCGTGTGTTCACGCTCTCGTACCACAAGTATGGTATCGACAAGCACGGCTACCCGTTCTTCCCAGGTACAGGAGCCATCGACGAGACGGGGCCCGCGGATCCTAGAAATCCCGGCAAGGCCCACAGCCTAAACATTCCCATCGATGATGGCATTGATGACGACCAGTACAAGTGGCTCTTCAAGACGGTTACCGGCGCAGTAATCGAAAAATACAACCCGCAAGCTATCGTCCTGCAGTCGGGTGCCGACTCTCTTGGGGGTGACCGCCTCGGTCGCTTCAACCTTAACATCAAAGCGCACGGCTATTGCGTAGAGACAGTAAAAGCTTACGGTCGTCCTCTGCTCATTATAGGCGGTGGTGGCTACACACCTCGCAATGTTGCACGGACATGGTGTCACGAAACGTCTGTCTGTGTAGGTGCAACGCTTCACAATGAGCTACCCGCCCACATACCCTACCTCCAAGCCTTCCAAGGAGCAGAGAATGGCGACGGAGTTTTGTACCCTGATCTACACAACACGAAACGTCACGACAACCTGAACTCGCAGGCTAAATTGCACAAGCTAGTCGAGCAAGCGCTAGAGAATTTGAGGTACTTGGAGGGTGCACCTAGTGTGGTCGTAGACACAAAGGGCATTCCGCTAGAAGAGCTTATGAGAGTGAGGGAGGCGATTGATCGAGAGATGGAGGAAGAGGCGGAGGACAAGGCCCGTCTCTCGGTCGAGAATAGCAGACGCAGGAAAGAGAAGAACATTGGCGGCCGAAGTGAGCGGAGATAGACTCGGAGCCGGGAAGCGTGATGCAACGACTCAACTTGATGGCGTTTAGGAAAATATTGGAGTCACGGGAGGGTGCGCTTTCGGCGATACCCATGGTACATGATTCAGACTAGGCAACAACTTGTTTGGATGCACA